TAACCGATTTGAAAATAGAAGAATAAAGAGCATTATTGAGAATTTCCAAGTTTTGGATGTAATCAAAGGGGCGGTTGATCATGTTTCAAGAAAAGATTGTATTACAAGCAAATGGGTTCCCATTGGATCACATCAACCGATACAGAACACAAGCAAAACAAGGTCTAAAGCTGAATACATCAGATCAAAGAACAAGGTTTTACATATCACTGGTGAATTTTGAAACAACTTTTTATTTCAATACAAGAACCTCTCCCCAGTTAAAAACCGAGGATGATAGCAGTTCTATAACATTCCAATGGTACAGATTCCCATTTTTTTTGGTACATACAAATTCACATAGATGTTAAATGCAAATTTAGCCTTTTTCTTTCCCTTTGCTTTCTTCTTTCAACTTTGATGATTCTGAGTAAAATATTCTTCCACACAAATGAATAACTTACGGGTCGGTCGGGTGATCTTCCACCTCCTTGTCTGAAGCAAAGCCGACTCTTTTACTACCCCCCCAAAAAAAACAAGGTAATAAAATGAATATAATTTAAGACAAAATGAAACTCGGCTATCAACTGCTGTGCTTGGGCCTCAAAGTGGGCATGTTCCTGCTTTTGCTGCTCAACAAACCTACTCAACCGCTGAAGCAGTTGAGCTGCCTTTCGCTTGGCCCTGTCCGTACCATTTTGTGCCAAGTCCACCAAATGATCCATCACTCATAGTTCCACTGCCTCTCCTAGATGTTGGTCTCTGGCACAAAGGTGCACCAAAATCGCAGCTGCATTCTCCTTGTTCCTCGGGGATCCATTTCCAATAAAATCTACCAAAAGTGGCACAGCCTTGACCGCTCCGATGGCAGACTTCCCTCCAGATTGGCTACCAAGTATTGCAAATATGGCCAACGACTCATCCACCATTCCGCCTCCAGGTTTTGTCGGTAAACGCATTAATGTAGGTATAACTCCAGCTCTAACTGCTTTTCCCTTGTTCCCTTGGTAAATGCACAAGTTGAAGAGTGCCGTAGCTGCATCCTTTTTGCTCCTCCGTGTGCCTTCACTTAGCAGTGTCACTAGTGGAGGGATTGCTCCCGAGGAACCAATTGCCACCTTATTTTCATCCACTATCGAGAGGCTGAAGAGGATGGCTGTTGCATTCTCTCTAGCTTCCATGCTCCCCTTCTTAAGCACTTGGACAATACCAGGAACCGCTCCAGAGGATACGATACATCCTTTGTTAACTTCACAAATGGAAAGGTTAAGAAGTGCTGTTACAGCATGTTCTTGGGTGTGTGAGTCAGTTGTTGAAAGGAGGCTCACAAGGAGAGGTATAGCCCCAGCTTCAGCAATAGTTACACGGTTATCTGCATTGCGTTTAGCTAGAAGACGGATTTCACCTGCAGCCATTCTTTGGTCTTCGAGATTGCCGTCTTTATACATGAGCGGTTTTACATAAAATGTATAATCAAATGCATGGTTGTTATAAACATCTTGCATTTAGCACCCATATTGAATAATGACTAAGACCATTTTAGAATTGAAATTTTAGTCAAATAGAATAATGACATAACAATGTGATTTGATGAAACAAGCGAGGTCATTAACCAAGCAATATATCAAGCAAAATTGATCATTCACAGCAATTTAACGAGGGCAGATGGTTTTCAAGACTGAAGTGATAATTAAAAAGAAGAAGAAATCTAAAATAAATATACCTGCCCTGTTGAAACAATGACAGGACCCTTCATCAGCTCAAGGGATATTGGACAGCGGAAATCATCTGGTATAAATGGGGTCTTGTGATTTCGGTCAGTGGTTGTTTGCCCACTGTTGATAATAGAAGGAAGATTTTTTTTCTCTTGCCGGAGCATCCAAGTTGGGATTTTCTTTAGTAAATTTGACATCATAGTATAGTTAGAATTTGTCATCTTGAGGTGATGAGTTTTGTTAGAAATAATTTTTAAATCGACGTATGAATATTTAATTATTTTTCTCGAAACTCATCACATCAAGATGAAGAATTTCATTAAAATAAATTTTTATTTATTTTTCGAGTATTTTATTTCTTACAAAAATAAAAAATTGGAACTCGTCATGCTGAGGTGACGAGTTCCAGGAGTCATTTTTATAAATTTTTCATTATAAATAAGAGGGAATAGTGTATAAGGAAGAGAGAAGAAAGAAGAAGAAGAAAGAAGAAAAGAAAAGAAAGAAGAGAGAAGAAGAAGAAAAAGAAAGAGAGAGAAGAAAGAAGAAGAAGAAGAGAAGGAAAGAAGAAGAGAGAAAGAGGAGAAGAGAAGAGAAGAAGAGAAAGAAGAAGAAGAGAAAGAGAAGAAGAAGAAGAAGAAGAAGAAGAGAGAGGAGAAGAAGAAGAAGAAAGAGAAAAAGAGAAAGAAGAAGAAGAAGAAGAGAAAGGAAAGAGAAGAAGAAAGAAGAGAAGAAGAGAAGAAGAGAAGGAAAAGAAAGAAGAAGGAAGAAGAAGGAAGAAAGAAGAAAGAAGAAAAGAAGAAGAAGAAGAAGAAGAAGAAGAGAAGAGAAGAGAAGAAGAAGAAGAAGAAGAAGAAGAAGAAAGAAGAAGAAAAGAAGAAGAAGAAGAAGAAGAAGAGAAGAAGAAGAGAAGAGAAGAAGAAGAAGAAAAGAAGAAGAAGAAGAGAAGAAGAAGAAAGAAGAGAAGAAGAAGAAAGAGAAGAAGAAGAAGAAGAAGAAAGAAGAGAAGAAGAAGAAGAAGAAGAAGAAAAGAAGAGAGAAGAAGAAGAAGAAGAAGAAGAAGAAGAAGAAGAAGAAGAAGAAGAAGAAGAGGAAGAAGAGGAGGAGAAGAGGAGGAAGAAGAGGAGGAAGGAAGAGGAAGAGGAAGAGGAAGAGGAAGAGGAAGAGGAAGAGGAAGAGGAAGAGGAAGAGGAAGAAGAAGAAGAAGAAGAGGAAGAAGAAGAAGAAGAAGAAGAAGAAGAGGAAAAAAATATGAAAAGTTATCGATTCGACGTAGAAAACGTCTTATGGAGAAGAATGAAAAAAAGAAAAAAATAATTGTGTAGAAATGGAGAAGAATGAGAGAAAAAGTTGTTTTGTATGTTGATGAAATGTTTTAAATATATGTATGAATTTGTGTTTAGTTAAAATTTATGTATGAGTAGTATGCAATTATGTAAGTAAAAAAAATTGTAGATGGATAATGATGTTCATAACTAAATTATCCAACTATTGGTACAACAAAACAACATGATAACATAATTACGAAGGTGACCAACTGTTTCTTAGTCTATTAATCGTGGCCAACAATCCAGTTGAACGATTTGATATCATACAAACCCCATCTTAAGTGACAACATAAGAGTGCAAGTTTGAGAGAAAGAAAATACATGTTTCCTCTAACTCATTCTTAACAATGGCAAAAGCAATAGGGAAATTTTTTTGTCACCATATTGTGCAACAACTATCATAAAGACGTGTTTGTATACGTCATACAAAAAAGTCCCATCAACTTGAACCATTTGTCTAAAATGGCGAAAACCTTCAATTTCTGACTTGAAAGCCCAGAACAACCCTCCAAAAACTTCTTCCCTAGAATAACTTATCCATCAATAGTCGCAGAATGAGTATAAGATCGTACAATGGTTATAGGGATGAAAAATTCCATGGCGTGCAACAAATGTGAAAGGTCATTATATAATTGATCATAATCACCGTATAATAGTGTCATCACTTTCTTTTTTTCTATCCACAACTTGTAGTAAGATGGAATATAACCAAAATCATTCTGGATGGATGCAACTATCATTGAAACTAGGATCCTTGGATTTTTCTCCACCAAAAGTTTTTCGTATGAGCATATGACATCAAAATCTAAGTGTTTGCGGTCCTGAGTCAATGAGCTCAATGTATAGCTGTGTGTGCCATAGAACATTGTTACCTCTCACAACATCTTACGATGTAATATGAAACCAACATCCTCCACTTATAGACGACATTATGGTTGGTATATCTGACAAAATATGTATTCTGATCAGACTCCACCATATAGAATTCTATATGAGCTTTGATACACAACTCTTTCACTGTTAATTGGGCATCATGCTTAGTTTCAAACTAGGACCCAATTGCCAACTCCAATGAACCGTCGTCGGAGGTACCCTAGTGTGCTATACATGTAACCCCTCCCAACTTTGATGGTCTAATTACTATTTAGGTTACTGATAGTTTTAAAACTATTATAAATAAACTCTTAGCCCTCTCAATTTTTTTGGTATAATTCTTTTTTAAGAAATTATCAGTTTTGAAATTAATGAAATTAAGCATTTACCCCAAATTTATGTGGTTTAATTACTTTTAAACACCTTTAAATTTTAAATTTAATGAAAGTAAACCCTTTGTGTCTTAGTTTTTATAGTTTAATTAATATAAAGGATCCTACTTATTTTAGAGTTAAGTAATTTGTCCACTCAAGATTCAATGGGATCCTAGCTTTGTCCCTTTACAGTGAGATTCTTTAGAGATAGTTATATGAGAAAGTGGATGGTCATTGATAGGATGTAGGAAGAGGGCATCAACAAATATTGATAATGCTAAACTTATAATCAGAACTTGATCCAGTGAGAAATAGGATTGTGAATATAGATTTGAAGACGGAGAATATCCTCTTAGCTACAAAAGCCTCGTCATCACCAATCAAATTAGCAGGCTTTGTCCTTGCAAAATGTATCGAGCCTGGTAGTTTTACATTTATGCCCCTTCTCTAACCAAGAACATTTTCACACAGTGCTTGTTTGCTTCCTCGAAAATTTTGAGATTTCCATATTTTGAACAATTTTGGTGTTTGTTACCAATAGGCCAGAGGAAGGGTGAAGATGGAAGAGAAAGAGCGAGTTTTTAGCATGATCAAATGATCTCAAAAAAGTTAACTAAATCGTTACTTTTGAAACATCGATGGGAAAAAGACAAAATTACTCAAATATTAGGGACCATTTAACGTAGTTTACGCGAAAATAAAAGTGAGAAATTTACTCAAATATCGTTACTTTCTCAGAGATGGAGAAACTGCTACAATTATATGATCAAAGGAAGATGTTAGCTTGGTCGAAATCGATCGGTCGATGTACAACTTCATGCGTATCCGTTTTGCTTACTCAATTTGTTCTCTTTTTGGTTCCTCTTTTTTTCTCAGCTTCTCCCCACCTCATTCAACTTGCACTCTCAGGTCTATTCTCTCTCAAGATCATATATGAAACTATTCAAAGTTCTCGATTTTTCTGAAGTTCAATAACACACTTCTTTCTCTTCTTTGCAGCTTCTATTTTGCTTATGGTTATGGAATTTGGAGGGTGGTGTAGACGGCTTCTAGGGTTCAATGCATCGGCTCCAGCTTTTGTGTTCTTCAGTATATTTTTAATTTCGGGTGTTTATATTGCTATTGTTCGAAAAGGTACCTTCGCTGCCCTCAATTTTTGAAGCTAAATTTAATCGCTGGATGTCTTTTATTGCTTTACCCATTTTTGGGGGGAAATTACAGATCTATTGGCATAAGTATAATCTCAATTGCTCAGCATCTGTTTTCTTTATTTGAAAGTTTGGGTGAAGTTTAACTCACTGAGACATGGTGTGATTGGTGTCCTTTCAGTTAATAATAGTATTTTGGATATTTTCCTATAATTTGATTGTCAATATGGGAATGTGAAATTAACTTCCTTTTGTTTGATGACAACCTATTATTTGCTTTGTTTTTGCAGCAATTTCACGTGTTATGGACATTGCTTTCAATGGACAGATGATTATGCTCATCATTGGTTTATGTAGGTTGTTTCTATTTGTCTCTTTCGATCTTTTGCAACATACATAACTTGCTTAGTCACATAGAAATCTCGTTCTGCTAATTTTTGTTGATCATTGATAAAACATGCTATAGTATTTCCAATGGCAGGATCATGCTAAAGGATCCTGGTTTTGTGGCACAAGAGTCGTTCTGTATGGATGAACTTGATGGAAATTCTGTTCTTGGTGTTAGAACTCACGCAGAGGTTGTCTGGTTTCATTTTTTGTTGTTCAATGTGATGCAAGTGTAGAAATAGAATAATATTAACATGCACATTGTTGGAAAATGCTTGAAGTAACTGATTAGACGTCTAATTTCTTGAAGTTTCAAAATGTATTTACCAAGTAAAGTTCATTAGAAATGTGCAATTTTTCCTTCTATTGAATGCTACCAGTGAATTTAAGACTGAAAGTTTCCTATCAACCTCATTCAAAATTTTGTTTCTAATTGATCTCACCATGTCTTCCAGAGTTCTCTTTTGCAAATGAGAGTAAGATACTGTAAGAGCTGCCAGACATACGTACAGGGTTTTGACCACCACTGCCCTGCTTTTGGAAACTGTATTGGTAATTTGGTACTAGAAATCATTTTGTTTTTGGCTATACATTTTTTAACTAATTTTCTTTGATTTGTTGATACCTTCTTAATCTGTTCTTACCATGCAAATAACCCTTTGTTTATAAGATTATTCTTAACTAAATATTATCCTCCTTTGTGGTTGATGTTTTTATGTCATCATGCAGGTCGGAAAAATTATGTACTCTTTATGGTTCTTCTGGTTGGATTTATCACTACTGAAATTTCTTACGTTGTTTGCTCATCCCAGTGTAAGTATAAGCTTGGCGAGGCCTGAATTCTTAATCTACTTGATTAACCTTTGACTTAAAGAAAACTATGATTCATTTGGATTCGTAGCTTGTGTTGCAATGCTTTCTTATATTGAAATTTCTTTTGCTAACTTTACTAAAGTCATTTACTTTCTTAAACATATTTATTTGCAGTTGCCTCAAAGTTTCAAGTTTCGAAAGAAATTAGCGTGGAGGTAAGTCATTCCTTTAATGTTTTATCTAATACAATACATCTGTTTCAGCAATATATATATCCTTCAATTATTGATACTTGTATATTGATGTTTCCCCCTTTTCTGGATGTTTTGGATAGACTGGTTCCATTTTAGTAATGGCAAGAAGCACATTGCTTTTTGTGTTCTCCAAGTGCTATGGCAGGTTTGTATCATTTGATTTTTAAAATTGTTCTTGTTTCTGAATCCTCTAGGTGTATCTGTCCATATTTATTTCCGTGTTAAAAGTATTTTACTTCAGCATTTTATGTCTATGTAGGGGCTGTTTCTGATATGGCATGTCTATTGCATATGTTTCAATATCAGAACTGAAGAGTGGGTAAGCTCCCTGCTAGACCAATCAGAAACTGTTTTTTTCAAGAAAAATGGATATATTTTCGAGTGCACTTTGCTAGTAATAGTTTACTTAGTCTGCAATATATGTGATAAGAGAAAAAAATGTGAAATGATGTTCTTTTAACTTTTAATTTATCCAGGTAAACTGGAAGAAGTATCCAGAGTTCCAACTTAATGCTTCACCTTTACCAGGTGATATATTTTGTAGAACCAAGTCTTATTCCTGGATATCCATGATTTATAATGTTCTATCATTCTAATTTTTATTCAATTGGCTGCATCTAGGATTGACCTGTCATGATATGAGGTTTAAAAATCCGTATAATAAAGGAATCTAGCTAAATGTCAAGGAGTTCTTACCCATGAAATGATGGAAGTGTTGCTGCCCATCTTGCTCCTGGTGCATTCCCTTGTTGTTTTGTCTCTCAACTTTAGCTGCAGTTGTCGTTGGCGACAGTCTTCACTTCTCAAACACGGGGGAACAGTTTAGATATTTGGATTTTCAGGACATGCCTTTAGAAGGTCAATTGGAGGTTGCTGATTAGGGTGTGTGGCACATATGGTGCATGGAAGTACGTCTGTCATATACTGCAGTTAGGTATTGTCTCTAATTTTGGCCATCGATAGGGAAATAGTTGAACTGGCAATTCTAACCACCAATTGAGAAAATATTTACAAATTGAGTTAGCTGAGAGAAAATGAATACAGTTATTAAAGGTGAAATAAGGATTTTATAACGATATGATTACTATTGCCCTTGTGTCTTTCTTTTCCTGTTTTGTTAGTGAGAAACAGGAGGTGAGTTTCCTGCCACAGCCAGGCTATTTAAACAACCATAATGGCCTGTTAAGATCAAATCTGGCAAAGAGCTGGTCATATTCAGCGTGCTGTGGAAGACCTGGGTGAATCCCACTCAACTATGCCCTTACTTTCTGTGGCTGGTTTTGGCAATAGCCTTATTCGATATTGCTTGCTGTGTCTAGATATGGTGACGAGGTTCACATCGGTTTATGATTCCTGTTCAGATAATTTCAAATGTTAATCGTAAATATTAAATTTGATAGTAGGAAGTAATATGATTATTGCTGGTCCTTTGCCCCCACCTTTTTAGCATACTACCGCCTACTTGCTTGGTTTGCCCAACACCCTCCCCTAATTAGTCAGTCATTTCCTCCATAGCTGGTCACAATATGTAATGACCATTATTGAGTCGCATATATAAATATATGGACGGGAGAATTACATGTGTAGGGCACTGATCCAACTGAAGGTTCATAGCTGCCATTTTGATCACATAAAACAATACAGAAACCGAAGCAACGTTTGAAGTTCCAATGCCATTACGAGAGATCAAGTAAACAGAAGATGTTTAGACTATTATTTTTTGAGTAAAAGGGTTTAGGGTTTACTTAAATATTTGTTTAAGAAGATGAAAGAGTTTATGTACTTGCTAGAAACTTACCTATGTACGATGCTTCTTCTTGGTTTGTTTCTTCGGATCCAATTTGTGAAATTGTGCTGTAAATCTTTCGACTATTCTAACAAATCACCATGGTGTTCGGGTTACTAAAACAATATAGCTCAGGTTAGTCATAGCACCACTCCACAATCATTTTACTTTGTTTTCACAACTGCAAGATTGATGGAGATCGACAAGATAATTTCACAAGCTGGATCTGAAGTGACAAACTAAGAAATTAAATCTGCATCCAACGTCTTACTAAGCTAAGTTTCAAACGAAATATCACAAGTTTCATCATCTTAACATTTAGGTCAAATTGTATTGATGTGTTAGCATAATCAATTTAGACAAAATTTTTCCATATTTGACCATGGAATAGAATAAAGGTGGCTATAATTTAACCATTAAAGATCAAACCGATCCTAAAGTAACGTGCCTTTGAAATGATTTGAATCTCTTATGATTCGATCCGACACGAAAAATTGAATTTTAATTGTTTTAAACTTGAATGATTGGAGTCTGAATTAAAATTTGTTTTGATAATAAATGACTTGTAAATTGATACAATTCTATTTGTCTTGGCCGCAAATAGAGATGTTACATTTGTGGCCTTCACGAAGAAAAAAGAAAAAGGCAGTGCTTTCCATGCCAACGACAGCAACCACCGAGTGCCAAGAAAACTGGAAATCTGAGGCATATAAACAATGATTTTCGTGGCTGTGTCTTCGAAGTAGAGTTGTTTTTGGTAAAAATAAACAACAACCATCTTTGTTAGAAAGCTTGGAAGAAAAATATGTGGGAAGTCAAAAACCAGACACTGATATCACTGCAATAAAGCCAAAAAAGCTTTAATAAAATATATGTCAAGAGGATGCTTAATCGTGTACGAAACAAACTTCTTAAACATGATTTTGCATGACATCACCACCAAACCTCTTAACTCTTTATTCATTTGGAATCCAGACCAATTGATGTCTGCTTCTAAGATACCCTTGGCGATGGTATGGCCCATCCACTTTCGTGCAATGCAAGCCATGTCTACGTCTAATCCATGCACGGTCTTCCATCAAAAGATTCAACTTGAACCCTAATCATCTCTCTCTTTGGTTACTGTTAATAACCTCAGCATATTATCCACTAATGAAATCGAGAAGCATTAACCATTAACAAGCAGTTACGTGGAATCTTAACCTAAAGAACCCCAACAATTTTTTAAACTTGCTTATACTAATTAATAACCCTTAATTTTTTTCTCTAAGGTGATATAATCAAGGCTTAAACAATCAATGTGACAGTTGCTCAGGTGATTGATGACTCGGTTTTAAGGTGGAAAATGGAAGTCAGAGCAATATTAGGAACTTATTTTCAATGAAACTGCTGCTTTCATTGCATAATAATCGACAAGATATTTTTGAAACCTGGAAAGAAAAACAGATGTAATTTTCCACCGAAATAACTGGTTTAATACTTTAAATTATCACATGTTATATTATTTTTAACATGCAAATCTTTATAATATTATTCGGAGTAGCTAAATATATTAAAATTATTATAAGATAAATTTATGTAAAATCAGAAGAAGAAAAAAACAAGTATCCAAAATTCGAACACGGCAAAGAAACCAAAACACCAATTTGGAAAAAGAAAAATGGTTGATATCTGAATAGGTAAGAGAATTGGGGTTTTATCAACTTGTGAATTGAAAATAATAATAAGGGTAAAGTATAGTAATTGTCACTAAACTTTTCTAAAGCTTTCATTTAGGTCCCCTAACTTTTAAAACTTGCAATAAAATCCCTAACATTTAGTCCGTTTGCAATATGGTCCCCCAACAGTTACGTTGGGGACCATATTACAAACAAACTAAATGTTAGGGGACCATATTGTAAACATACTAAATGTTGAGGGACTATATTGCAAGTTTTAAAAGTTGAGGGACCTAAATGAAAGCTTTAGAAAAGTTTAGTGACTATTACTATACTTTACCCTTAATTTATTTAAAATTTTATTTGTAATTTTACATTTCTTCAATTTTGTCCTTAAATTTATATTTTTTTACAAAATTGATCCATGATTATTTTTTTTGTAATTTACTTGAAATCATATACAATTACAACTTGGATTCAACAATCACGAAAGATGACAAAATAATTAACCCAAAATTAAAAATGACCCGACCTGAACTCAATTCGTATCTAATAAATATCCGAACTGAATTTTATCTATCAATGATGTGACCCGATCTGAACGAGATCCGACTAAAGTCCACCTGAACCTGAATTAACTGGTCTTTATCTGCTTCGGACTTGAACTGACATCGATCCGAACTGAGAATGACTCGACTTGAACCCTATATGGATCTAGTGTTAATCAACCTGAAAATAACCCGAACTGATTTGACATGTACCCGACCTGATCCGAGTCAAACCATCAAATTAACCTGACTTGACCTGTACCCGATTTTACCCCGACCTACCAGGATCCGACTGAAACCTGACCGATTACCTGATTTTACAGCCTTAACGGACACCTTCTTAAGTAGACACTCCACCACGTTAGGCTATTGAGGTCGCCCTCTACGAACGAGGGTAAGAATGATGTTTGGGTAAAATTATTGAATTCTTACGTAATAAAGTTAATCACCAAGAAATTTTTAATCATTCAAATTATAATAGAATTTAATTTAATTATTAATTAAAATTTGAATAATATTACAAACTAAATTATATAATACTCTAATTATATTTATAACATAAAATATAAGATTAATTAATACTTGAATATGATATATTATAAAATAAAATATAAAATAAATAATATTTGAATTAAACTATCACTAGAGTTAATTAATTGGCTAAAGTATAGTAACGGTCACTGAACTTTTCTAAAGCTTTCATTTAGGTCTCTCAACTTTTAAAACTTGCAATACAGTCCCCCAACATTTAGTTCGTTTGCAATATGGTCCCCCAACATTTAGTCCGTTTGCAATATGGTCCCCAACATAACTGTTGGGGGACCATATTGCAAATGAACTAAATGTTGAGGGACTGTATTACAAGTTTTAAAAGTTGAGGGACTTAAATGAAAGCTTTAAAAAAATTCAGTGACCATTACTATACTTTACCCTAATAATAATTGAAGACAGTGGTGGAGACCAAACTTACGTCACCAGTTCTAGATAATTAATTATTAAATACAAAGAAAAAAATAGTTTCGTTATTCAATCAAAAATAAAAATCTCTTCAACTCAGACAGGGATTAGGTCATTTGAGGTCCCATCTCTATGCAGTAAAGAAAAAAAAAAAACTTAACCCACAAAGTTACTGGTGGAAATTAAAAGGAAGGCCATATATTACTACTGATATCAGTTTCTTTAACCTGGCTAGGCATGAAATAAGTACAGGGCAAAAGAGCCATTTTTTTCATTCTTGTAATCGAGTGTATCATATTTTTTAAGGTAATTTGAGTTTATGTAATATTCCTATGATATTAAATTATAAGATTTTAATATAAAAGTTCATAAACCTTTTCTATTGCTTCTGTTAAAAATTTTGTTTAACATATTAAATGATTTTAAAAACAATTACATATATTGTTAATATAAAAGTTAATATAGACCCACATATATCTTTTTGTTTCATTTTTTAAGGAAAATTTTTATCTTTTTCTTACATGTAAATAATGATATGATTTACCCATAAAAAAGGGTCATGTGAAAATCACTCGTTAATGATGGAGAAATTTTAAAATGAAACAAAAACTAAACGATATTATGATTTAGAAAAAAATTAAAATTAAAATACTAAAACAAATTAAAACTTATAGTTTAGTTACTAAAAGCGTAATTTACCCTAAAATAGCACCGTGGGTAACGCCGGCTCGTAGTCAAAACCACCTTAGCTCCAATTAACGAGCTGCGATTTCAATGTCTGCACATTTCATTGTTTTGAATAAACTTCTTTCACCTTTTATATTTATATTTTTTTACGCATCAAATTAAAAAAAAGTTATTTTTTTTATAACTTATTATTATTTTATTAAATATTGATTATTAAAACGTTAAGTGTTATTAATTTAATGATATAATAAATTAATAAATAGTTTTTTTTATTTTAAACTTAAACTTTAGATATTAATTATGATTTTTTTATAAATCTAAAATAATTAATTTATTAATATATCATATCACCAAACTAACGATTTTTAACATATTAGTGATAAAAATTAATAAGTCGATAATATGAGTAACTAAAATTTAAAAATTTAAAAATATAATAAGTAACACATAAAAGTAAGTTTCTATAAAAAAAAACACATAAAAAGTAAGTAACCATTTAAATAGTTTGTCCTTGTTTTTTTGTTTAACCCAATTGACCACTTAATTTTACACTCGCCAATCGTACGGACAGTTTTCAACAAACGATGTAATCAACGGTTGAGATCTTCCCTTTTAGATCTCTCCCCCCCAAACAAAAAAAAAGGAAATATCTGACAACTGCCCGTAACTTTGTTTCTGTAACTACACGGGCAGCTCCCACCTCTCGCCTCGGGCAGATACAAAGTCCAATAAATTAAAAAAACTAAATAATACTATTAAATAAAAATAATTGTTTTTTTATTTTCTCTCTTCACTCGCTTTTGAACAACTACTTATATGTGAACTTTTGCCAAAATTAAACGAGAGGCCAGGCCACCACCAACAGCCACCGCCGACGACCGGTGGTGAAAGCTAGAATAAGTTGTGAACCCTCTTTTTTTTTTTTGAAAGATGGGTCAAGGGATGAGTTGTGGGGCGAGCCAAGAGAATGGATTGTTTGGTGCAGTTAAAGTTGGAGATATTGAAACCGTGGAAGCTCTGTTAAAGAGAGAACCCAGTCTTCTATACCATACAACTGTTTATGGTCGCCTTTCTGCTCTTCATATAGCTGCTGCTTATGGCCAGATCGAGGTGGGTACTGGGTAGTTCATTTGCAGGTGTCTGAAGATTACTTTTTGGGACTATGTTTGGCTCTTTTTAGCTTTCTATTTTCATATTTGGTTTCAATTCATTGATTTGGAAATGTGTGTTCTTTATTCGTTGGTAGATTTTGGGCATGCTTTTGGAGAAATCCGCGAACCCAGATGTGGTGAATCGTCACAAGCAGGTCATTTTCATTTTTGAAACGTTTTAAGTTCCTTTTTTGTTATATATTATCTTTATTTAGTTTTTGTGTTTCCTTTTCAATGTTTTCAGACTCCACTTATGTTGGCTGCAATGCATGGGAAGATCTCCTGTGTGAAGAAGCTCATTGAAGCTGGTGCCAATGTGAGGCATTTTTCAAATTCCCAGGAGTTGCAATTTAATCTTTTTTGTGTGTTGAAAAAAATTTGAATTTGAATGATCTGATATATCCTTTTTCAGATCTTAATGTTTGACTCCCTCCATGGAAGAACTTGCTTGCACTATGCAGCCTATTATGGTCACTTTGACTGCCTTCAAGCCATCCTCTCTGCTGCTCGATCGAGCCCTGTTGCCGTTTCATGGTTGGCATCATTTCTCATAATCTATTTTTGATTAATTGGGCGATTGATCTCAGTTTTTATTGATCATATATGTTTTCTGGGTTGGATATATATATCAGGGGATATGCACGATTTGTGAATATAAGAGATGCTAGGGGAGCCACTCCCTTGCACTTAGCAGCCCGTCAAAGACGGTCTGAATGCGTTCATATCCTGTTAGACAATGGCGCTCTTGTTTGTGCTTCAACTGGTGAATATGGGTAATAATTGGTTTTTTATTTTTATTTTTGTGTGCTAATCTTTTACAAATGAATATAGTGATTGAAAATGTTGTTTTTCAGTTTTCCGGGAAGCACTTCTCTTCATTTGGCTGCTAGAGCTGGATCTCTCGATTGTATCCGTAAGTTGTTGGCGTGGGGTGCCGATCGTCTTCAAAGAGATGCATCTGGGTATAGTTTAATTTAACTGTTGTTTTAATGTTTATATGGTCTTCTAAATTATTATCTTATTGCAGATCTATTGTTCTTCATGTTTTTATTTGATTGTTTCAAGAGATTCCTGATTTAGTCTCATTTATATTCTAGGCAATCTTTTTGTCTTACATAGTCTGATGTAAAGTGGTGGGAATCTATTCCTTGGCTTTGATGCTTGTTCCTCTCTTTTTTATCTTACCATATGTGATAATGATATGATTCACGTCTAGTTATTTCGACGAATGGATGTATGTCTCTATATATATTTCATTTGCTTTTGATTATTTTTGTTAAGACTTGCTGTTGTTATGTTTGTATCTTACAGGAGAATACCGTATGTAGTTGCTCTTAAGTACAAACATGGAGCATGTGCCGCTCTGCTAAATCCTTCATCAGCCGAACCTCTCGTCTGGCCAGCACCTTTAAAGCTCATTAGTGAGCTCAACGATGAGGCAAAATCACTATTAGAACAGGCCTTAATGGAGGCAAACAGGGAAAGGGAAAAGAACATCTTGAATGGAACAGGTTATGCACTTCCATCACCTTCACCCGTGCACTCTGATTCCGGATTAGACGACACTATTTCTGAGGTAGAACTCTGGAACCAAAACCATGCCTTCGATTCTAGGGAAAAGTTGGTTTCTTTAACTCTTGAATGAAAACCATTTGTCATTTCTTGATATGTATCCCATTAAACTTGTGCTTAAATGCATAGAATTGCCCTTGGCTATCTTGGTTTCAGTTGTGGTCCGGGATGAAATTGTTTAGTGATTTAGCGATTCTAGGCATAATTTTTTTTTAACTCTAGTGTACTATGAAACCTATATTTTAGTTGGCATAATCCCCATTTTTGCATATTGACCCTACTATTTAGCTGTTGGTTGCTAGGGTTATATGAATAAGTAGTGGACCATGTTTTTCTTCTATTACGTGAATTATTTACAACAGTTTGCAGTTGGCAATAATGGAAATAATATATTCACTGGGGAATTCTTTCGATGTAGGCTAGCTATGCCGAAGTATGCTGCATATGCTTTGAGCAGACCTGCACGATTGAAGTTCAGGACTGTGGCCACCAAATGTGTGCACAATGCACACTGGCTCTTTGCTGCCACAGCAAGCCGAACCCCACGACCGCACGTGTAACGCCCCCGTTATGCCCCTTTTGCCGGAGCACCATTGTCCGGTTGGTGGTAGCTAAGATAAAAGATTGCGATGATGCTGATCATGAGATGGACATCAGCTCCCCGAAGGTGAGAAAACAGAGGAAGTCGAGGAATTTCAGTGAGGGAAGCACCAGTTTCAAGAGCTTATCTGGAGTCGGTTCATTTAACAAGATGGGGAAGATTGCTGCAGAAAATGAATGGATCGATAAGCAGCCTTGAAATTTGGCAGCTCTTTGATGAGTTAAAAGTTTTCAAGTTGGTCGATGTGGGATATTCCCTTCTAAGACAAGGGACCCATAAGAGGTATATAGATAGGGAGGTGGGTCCATTTGGTATTTGTAGGGGAAAATAAGAAAGGAAATGCGGGTCTTGGGTAGGTGGGTGGAAAATAAGAAGCTTTGGGTCATTAGATCAATATATTATTTGGGAAGAAAATCATTTTTCTTCTAAAATTGTAGTAAAAGTTTTGAAAATTCTTAAATGGCTGCTCCCATGAGGCCCTTTGGGAAGAGACCAAGGCCTCTTGTCCCCACCAAAGTCCCATAGTCCTAAAATTAGGAGAGGGTTGATCATTTCACTGTAATTATATTCGCAACTCTTTATGTAGAATTTTCTTTGAATAAAGTGGAAATGCTGTAATTATATTCCCAACTGTTTTTGTAGGATTTGAAAATTTTATATTATTTGTTGGATAAAAATTATTGTAAATTTTATACATCTTTACAGAATACATGTAATCATTATAAATTATTTAATTTTAATAAAAAAATTAATTATATTTTTAACGTAATTTAAATTGATATCATAATATTTAAATATTAATTAACTATATATTTTTAAATACTATTAAATTTAAGGTAGTATATCACTTATATTTTTAATGAAATCCGTTCAAATCAAAAGATTTTACTAATAAATAAAAGAAAAAAAAATTTAAACTTGTATGTATTTTTCTACCCTTCCATTTTTTACTGTTTGGGATAAGAAAACAATGATTTTTTAAAGTGGTATCCTATCCTCAAACAACAATGCACTTTGTGAAGCTATCGTAATAAATGTGTTGTTGGAAGTTTAAAGTTGTAGGAAAGATGAGACCATTACCACCTCACACTCCATAGCTTCAAGAGAAAAGGAGAGAGAAAGAGCTGTAAACTTGGTAGGGTCTTTCATAGACCAAGTACTTGGTAGTAGCAGTCAAATAGGAACCCCACTAGATATCTTTTTTCCATCAAAGCACAGGGAAAATATCTACCCGAAAGTAATTAGTTTTTAATGATTAACGGGTGGAAGACAGTTACAGCCAACAAAACATGATGCAATCACACGTAAAAACATCTGAAAATCTTCCTACGTTGGGCTGTCTTTGGTTTCGAGAGATTAAAAAACAAAAGAAATTCACCGACACGTTTTCCAGCAATTCGGACGTCAGCGTAGAAATCTTTCGTATCTGTGAATAGAAAAATGCTGAAAGGTAATAAATTAGTATTTGATTCAAGGAACACCACAATGTAAACAGAGTTTAGCCCTTGGTTGAAACATCAGAAAATATGAGACCAGAACCTTAGTTGCAAGGGCATACTCAGTAATGGACAGTTCCAAGATGCTGGAAAAACCAATTGAGCTCCCAAAGGTAATGGACACAAGACCCTTTGGAGTGCAATCAAATAAAATATGGGGGTTCAACCATCTTTGCTTAATCTTAACACTGATATGGCAAAGTTATGTGACATCAAAGAGTACGAGCGGCAGTTAGCTCTAAGATCCAAGGGCACCCATTGGTCATAACATTAAGGTAATGTCAATGTAATCTACGGAATAATTTTCAGAAAAGGAATCTATTTTAATCAAATGTGTCCATCTGATATCTCTGATCCAGGAGCAGCAATGCTCAGTGTGTGCTGACATTACAAAAAGTCATGCCGGCACCGCATCAATTGTTTTGTTGCAATTATTGAGTGCTGCCTGGCCTGCTGCTGTTTTAACACTCCAACACCTCACTGAGTGTGAAGGAAAAAGCACCAACCATCACACTCCGGTCTCCATTATTAAAGACGTGTAATGGAAAAAGGAATCAAATCAGGCTCAACATCACAACTCCAATCCCCATAAAGCAGAGCTGTAAAAAGAGTATTTACTTTTAACTTACTACTTTGGCAACTTGTTAGTGACCTGGATAAAATATAAAGGCATAATGACAAAGGTATCCCAATATTTATACAAATGATCATTTTGCCCCCTATTCCTTTTCTTTTTTAAGTATTCTAGTCCTCAACGTTTTAATTTTTGATTAAAACATACCCTGTTGAATGAAAACCTTTCGTTAACTAATGATTTTCATAAAATAAGGGTTTTTTTTTAATCAAAATTGAAACGTCAGTTAAAATGCTCCAAAAAATAACAGGGAGCAAAGTGTCATTTTGTACACATGTTGAGGGTACTTTTGTCATTATGCAAAAAACTCATTGTATTCTAGGGTAAAGGAGAATCAAGAGATTCAATGTTGCATTAAGCCATTTTGTGATAAATTTCATGGTGGAGAAAACAACCGAAAGAAAACAAAAAGCTATACACTCATGGGTCAGGAGTCATGCATGTGGGATATGAAAGGTGAAAGGAAAAATAAACCCAGGAAACAACAACCAAGATATGAAGCAAATCTAAGCAAAATATTTTAACCAAAATTCAAGTAGTTTTTTGCCATTGAATCAGTCTCTGACCTCTGTGTCTGAATCTGAAGAGGAAGATGAAGAGGCAGTGTCTGAATCTGAAGAGGAAGATGAAGAGGCAGTGAGCATAGTATTGAATGAAACTGACCCTGAGTGATCATGGTTGCTGCTAGCTACCCTTAACTCACATTCAGAGACCAACAATCAAATCAATTCAGAAATATGGTTTCAGTGTACCCTCCAAACAATCTACATCATGGACCATAAATTGAAGAAAAAAATCGAAAGAGAAAATGTTCATAACTGTACTGTCATGAGAAACAAAGGCAATATGACAAACAGGAAATAGACACACTCTCAGAGAAATTATGAGAAAAAAACATAGACTCGCAATTATAATTCGGAAAAAAGGAATCCGGGAAACAACCCATGAGAAAATCATTCAAAAGGACAAGCTTATCCTGTTGAGGAATGTATTATGATGTACTTTTGGAATTGCATATTTGTGATGATTGATCTTGGTGAAAACTACTAGTAAACTGGTTAGCTTCAATGTATATCATGAATCTTATCAGATATGTTACCTTTACATCTGGTCCAGAGAACACCATTGTTAGCCCAAGCTTTTAAGTTCTGAGGATCCCGAAGCTACGGGTGTCGAGGAATCCAATGAACTGCTGTTTTTCACTATATCTTCAGTCTCATGACTCAAAAGGAAAAACCCAGATCTTCAATGTTTAATTCTCGTAATCTGATTGTCTAATTGGAAAAAAGAAGAAGCAGAAATTGTGGTCTTCAACAGACAATTCAAGGTCCTTTACAGCAAAAGTTGAACTGTTTTTTTAAAAGTTTTTAATACTGGAAAGAATATTTGGTATTTGAGTAGAATGTTTCTGTTTCTGCAAAGTTGTAAGATTTAGATAATTTAGTCTAACACAACTCCCTATTGTACCTGAATACACTGAATTTCGATATTATATAATATTGTTTTTTGTTATTATAAATTATATTATATAAATATATATTTTCATTAAATTCGAGTTTTTACATTTACAGGCCCCAACAACGTTACACAAGACCCAACAATGGCCCAAAAGACGAACTGGCCCCAGGACCCAGCGCGAGTTGATGTTTCCTGAAACCCTAGTCATGCCTCGTCCCACATCGTCGTTTCCTCTATGGATTCCTCTCAACCACGCCCGATCTCCACTGCCGCACGCCTCTCAACAACTCCAGATTTCTCGGGCACTCAAGGACAACAAATAACAAACATCAAACATTGTAATCCGATTAGGACTCTAACAAATAATCTAAAAATAGGATGCTTTTCACCTATAAATAAGTGTAAATCATCACAAGTGTAACTAGGAATTTCATATGAAATAAAGGCAGAAACTTTCGAGCAAAACCACGAGCATTATCAAGGCAAAACCGAAACGTTTTTTGAGAATAATAAAAGGTAAAGTCCATACCTTTCTTCGTTTTGGTGGCCTGCATGTCGTTCCTTTCGTATTGTTTTTTATTCAAACTCCAAAAAGAAGTATTTTTGGCCGATGAACGAAGTGAGACCTTTATTTTTTGAAACCTATTTCTTATATCTGCATTTTTTTTTCGAGCCAATTTTTGAAAAACCACTTGGATTTTTGGATTGTGGGAAGAGAATGGTCTTTAAAAACGACGAGTTTTGTGGTGGACCACCGCCGATGAGCGGCGGCGAGGCGATGACCACCATTTTTTAGGCGGCGGCGCACGATCCTTGTTCTTGGAGACTCAAGAACAGTTGAGAGCAAATTGAAAGGGGGTAGGGCGTTTCTGTGAGAAAAGAGAAAAATGAAACTTTTAAAAAAATTTGGCTTATATGTTAAGCCCAGTTGACCCGTGCTTGACCCACGACCCGACCCGTGGACCTACAAGGTCCGCATGTTTTCAACATTAAAGGGGTTAATCCCCTTTCCAGTCCCTATTCGTTTTAAAGCCCTCATTTCGCCCCCAAATTCAATTTTTAAACCCATAATTCGTTCTAATTTGGCCACTCGATTCACTTTTCTTTTCAATTTGGCCCCCCGTTAAATCCAATTCATATTTAAGTTTTTAGTTTTTTTTATTGTTTTAATTTTTTTTCATTATTACGTTTTATTATTACATTTATTATTATTATTATTATTATACGTATATATATATATATATATATATATATATATATATATATATATATATATTATTCAATATTTGATTAGTATATATATTTATTTTTTATTATTATGTTATTCCTTATTTATTATTACTGTTTTTTTATTTCAACTTTATTCATTTATTTATCTTCTTTCTTGCTTTCTTTAACGTTTTTTCATTTCATTTATTTATTCACTTATTATCTTTTTTATTCTTATTATTTTTTTGGTTATTTTTATTTACTTTTATATTGTATATTTCTATGTGTATGATACCTTTAGGGTCCTTATTTTATTTATTTGTTTTACTTTATGTTATTTAGCTTATCTCCCCTTTTTATTTTCTATTTTATTTTCATTCTTATTTCCTTTACTCTATTCTTTTTACTTTATTCATTTTCGTTTTTAACGTCTTTATTCTTTTTAAAGGGTAGAGCGCAAGCTATTAAACTTGTGGTCGTATGATCGAGTCCCACTGAGGGCAATTCATAACGGAGGTCTTTCACGGAAGTTGCTCTCAACCTGGTGTTGGGGGCAGCCTACTACCCTACCTCCCCCTTACCTCATACCTATGGGAATAGGGTCAGCTAATTATATTCTTTTTAAAGGGTGTTTTAAATCAATCAGTGGTAAGTCTCGGATCGTTATTTTACCTTTCAATTTAAAATTACAATTTTCTTAATTAAAGACAATTGGAAATTGCGTAGTACCGAAATGGTAATTCAAGGGTGCTAACCCTTCCTTGACTGTAACCGACTCCCGAATCCGACACATCACTGGTAAGACGCAGATCAGGTAAGAAATAGGGTATCCGATCAACCCATTTGTTTTAAAATAAATGATCGATGGCGACTCCAATTCGTTTAATCTAAGTCGAAGCCCAATTCCGGGCCCACTCGAAAGACGATTATGACAGCTTGGCGACTCCGCTGGGGACACAGGTAAGTGAGTCAGGTTAAGGTAATTTCCAGTTGTCTTTTTAACGAAAAGGGTAAGTTTAAATTTTAAGGTAGCATTTCGATCCTTATTGCTTACTTTTGATTATATTTTTCGAGTAAATAGTTGTATTAATCGTTTTCTAATGATTTCAGCCTTCCAAACTCGTTTTTTCCTCTAAGGCTATATACCCGAGCTCTAAACCTATTTTAAATGGGGGTAAAAGTGACGCCTTCGTGTGAATTTATTCACCGTGCGGGCCTAGCAAGTAGCATTCAGGATTCATATACCTTATGTCTTCTTGTGATTTTATTCACCGTGCGGGCATAAGGGAATCTGTCCACTCGAGTTTAACTTAGTCCACACAAGCATGTGATGGGTTTAGGACTAAGGGTCTGGCAAGCCCAAGGGGGCACAAGCAATGAGAACTCGGGTACCGTTTTTTAGAACCTAAACCGGGAGACCATGGAGAATTAGAGCCTACCCAAAAACCACATTCCAAAACCTAGGATATTTTTACACTAACCATTTTTTTTGTGATTTTTTCTTTCGTCGTTTTATTTATTTATTTTTATTTTACTAACTTTTTTTGCCTTTGTGTTTGTTTTCTAGCATTTGCACCATAACAAGAGGTTATTAATCCTTAAAAAGCGTTTATTAAACACAAAATAATCTGAATTAATGGACAAAGGTGTTGTAATATAAGAGATTGAAAATGCTGAGGCACGACTATGGTCCGAGAAGACTTAGAAAGAGAAGGGAGACAGTCTTCAGGGAAATTATGTATCAGAGCTGGTTAGTTACACCTCTGTCATCCTGAAACAGAATGATGTCCAAGAGCTGCGAAATATTTGGGACAGTTGGAAGAATGACAGAAAGCAGAAGTTCAGCCAACGATATGGTGATATTGCCCTCTTACTCCATGTCAAGACTAATGAGCCCCTGCTCCGAGCATTAATTCAATTCTAGAACCCGGGATATAGTTGCTTCACCTTTAACCAGGAGGACATGATGCCCACTATCGAAGAGTATACTACCCTATTGCACTGTGAAAGCATCAGACTAGAGAGGGCATATATCAAACACATCAAAAGTCAACCTTTCAAGAACGGACTGGCTAAGATTGCAGGGGTTGATGAAAAATGGGTGACTGATAGACTCCGACATAAAGGTAACGGGGAAGGAATCGAGTGGATTCACATAAGGTAACTAATAAAGAACCACCCTGATGAATGGAAAACTATAGACCTTTTTGCACTAGGTCTGTATGGTTTGGTTATCTTTCTGAAGACTTTGGGGTGCATCAACGCAGCCATGGTAGAACTATTTGAACAACTTCCAAGACGAGTCAACCCAGCACCGGTCATCTTAGCCGAGACCTTTCGGTCTCTTAATCATTGCATAAGAGCTTGTGGAGGTAGGTTCGTTGGGTGTGTTCATCTCCTTCAAGTCTAGATTCACAGCCACTTCTGGAAGACTAACGGGGTTGATTACCGCCGACTTAGCACCACCTATTCACCTTTGAGAGATTTCATCACTATGAAGTGGCATGAAGCGCTACAAAGGAAAAATGGATGAAAGTCTTTACACATCTTCAGGATCGGGACATTACCTGGAGAGCCCCCTGGTTATTCTTCGGCGACGTTCTTTTCTGGTGTGGGGATTCTGATACTATGACCTTACTCGGACTTTGGGGTGTAGTTGAGTATGCTCTGTTGTTAGCACTTAGAAAGTATGGGGCATGTCAGTTTATCCCAGCAACAAGCGGACTAGCTAGATCAGAGTTTGTGTATCATAGTGACAGCTATAAGAAAATGATCAAGGAAGCAGTCGATTCATGGAAGAAAGTATTCGGATGGATGTTATAGCTGCTAGAGACATGCTTACTCCGGATTATGGGGAGTGGAAAAGATTGAGAAAGAATAATAACGTCCCAGTGCCAGACTGTGAAGACACTTGAACTATGGAGGAACATCTCAGGCCTGTCCCTTCTGGACTTGAGATAGCCAAGGCAGAATTTGAAGCTGTGAATAACGAGCTGAAGCAGAGGATTAAGGAACTTGAAACTAAACGTTATCAATGGAAGCTAAATGCTGACTCTCAGAAAGATAGAGTAGATAAACTAGAAAGATAACATAAAATGGTCCGTTTTGAGCTCGAAGATTTGAGAAAGGGGTATCAGGATAAAGTAAAGGATAACTCCAAGTTGAAAGTAACCTCTGAATACTGGAAAGACGAAGCTCACAGTCTGAAAAGGAAGTTCGAGGGGCCCGATGAAAGAGCTTGGAAGGAACAACTGAAGACTGCTCAAAGACGCTTGGCAGACAGTCAACATCAGAACCAACGTTTGAGAATCTGGGTGTATGACTTAGATAAACAACATGAGAAAGATGACAAGACAATAGCTGAGTTAGAAGCTATTGTAGATGGGTTCAAGAGGCAAGCAAACGAGCTTCAGATAGTACCCTTTGACGGAGGATTACAGTGGCGTTTCTGTTGGGAGCAAGCACAGCGAA